CCCTTCCCCTTCCCAATCCTGCTGTAGGGACTAGGGACTTACCTTAAAGGGGTTTTAAACCCTCCCTTTTTTTGCCTATATCTACTGCTATCAAGCGGTAGATATAGGCAAACAGTTTAAAAAACAACAAAAACGGCTTTAACAGCGGTTTAAATTTACCTTGTTTTCGCTGCGCGCTCCCGCCAGAGAAAACGAAACTGATCGGGCGGCCGCAAAGCATCTTGGAGCAGTTCGGATTCTCGGACGGGAGACGAACAGAGATAGAGGAAGTCTATGGACGCGTGCACCCGCATGCAAACACCATGGGATCAGAAGTGCCTGTAAGCAGAGAGGAGTCAGCGCTGGATCGGAGAGACGCCGCACCGCTGGAGGGACAGATGAAAACATCAGGAAAGAAGAAGATGATCGGATTAAGGCCCCATTCACACTGAGCGATTTATCGGGTGATTTTTGCAGCGATATATTTCCTCATATTTCCACGCGATATCGCTCTATGTAGCTTCTCCAATGCATTTCAATGGAGCTGTTCACATCTCGCAGCTCAATATCGCCTGTAGCTTGTCGCTCCTACATGACCCTTTTTTCTGCGGATTTCGAGCGATTTTGCTCCTGATTGCATACAGCCCAATAGGAAAAAGTTGCGCGACAAATCGCACATATAAAATCGCGCGATTTTCATGCTGCTCAGTGCGAATGGGGCCTAAGAGATATAATTTAAGGTGCTGACATTAACATTGGGGGGAGGGAAAAAATTTTTTTGCCTTTAATGTCACTTTAATCCGATCATCTTCTTTACTGTCTGTCCCTCCAGCGCTGGTGCGGGTGTCCGATCCAGTGCCGACTCCTCTGTCCTCCTCTCATCTCCCACGGAGTCTGTGCGGGTGCACGCTGCTCCATATACTTACCCTCTCTCCTAGTCTCCCGGCCGAACATCTAAAGTGCGCATACGCCCGCCCCAAGATCCTTTGCGGCCGCCCGAGACTCTTCAGATTTGCTAGCAGTAGATATATGCAAAAACACGCAAGGGTTTTATAACCCTTTAAGCTAAGGGAAAATTCTCATGCAAAGCGAACAGCCTATTTTCCTTTAGTAAATCAACCAGCCAGTTGTGTAATCTTCTTGAGATGCCAGACAGCATTGGCCAGTCCAGGTTGTTGTTTCGTTCTGTTTTTTTTTAAATTTGTGATGGAACTGATGACACAATAATACCTCCTGAGTTAGGCCTGCAGTTCACTTTTGCTGGTGACTTAGCAAGTGCAGCTGCCATGTTTATCCCTGGTATCAGACAAGAACTAACTCCCTGCTGGGACATCTGTTAAGTCCAATGCTGGTGTTTGGAAATGTTTTTTTGGCTTTAACATAAAAGAGCCAGCAGGGCCTATAATTATAATGTTTGGAGACCCTGTCATTTATAGATGCAGCCTGCATTTCCTGTGTCATACCAGTCATCCTCCCTCATGTGTCTTTTCTCTTCCCATTCTTTGTTCTGTGTGCTCACTGCCCTGTTATTGTTCAGGTCATCTTTGTGCTATCTGTCTAGTCTGTCCTCTGTGCTTCTCTCTCTCTCCATCTCCTCCTCCTCCTCTCTCTCACCTTTCTCATCATCCAGTCAAATAACAGCATGCTAAACGATTACATTTCCATGTCAAGTAGCTTGTGTTATTTGTGGCTCCCTGTCATTCCACTTGCCACTATGATGGTGTCGGCACCTTATTACACAGCATTTGCCACCTCTTCACGTCGCCTTGCATGGAAAGACTCAAGCTAATTACAGTTATTTAATACGCAGCATTACTTTTTAATTATAGGTTCATTAATGACCCCTTCTGCAGCTGCTGCGAGCCTGTCAGCAGTGCCTGCTTTGTATTAGAAGTGAGCTGAGCTCACTGCTATAGAGGGATGTGTAATACAAAATGTAATATATTGGCTAATCCTGCATACAGGTAGCAGAGCAGGCCAATGTATTGGAAAGCAGAGCAAAGAAGAACTAAGGCTTTTACCATAGCAACCCGTCAGATTTTACATTCTCTGACCTGTGCTAGAAAAATAAAATCTCCAATTAGTTTGCTTGTTACCCTCAAACATTACGTTTTGGCATCCAGATACCGGAGTTTGTAGGCAATAGGGCCTCATTTATCAAGAGGTCTAAACCAGTTAGGCAACCTTGGCACACCAGCTGTGGTGAAACTACCAGTCCCGTCATGCCTTTGACTCTGGGAGGCATGCCTGTGACAGTCTTTGCAATGCGGGCTTGTAGCTTCACCCTCTGTTCTCCTTCCAGCGGATAATTTCTAACTCGAGTTTAAATTTGATCGCAATGGGTAATAAAGTGGGCCAATCACGTGGAGTGTGTCTTGTGTGTGCTGCCAATGCTCATAAGAAAGCAGCAAAACTACTAATACGCTGCTGCCGATTACTAAGATCTTCTTTAGCAAAAGGGGTTAATTTGATGCTGGGCACTACATTTAATTATTCAGAATTGCTGCACCTATAGGTTACATTAATGTGCACAAAGACTTCTTTAAAGGTAATCTGTTACACCACAAGATACCTTTTGTGAGAAGCCTCAAACACAAACTGCCATTCTGTGCCTCAAGAGTTTAAAGGTGCCCATACACTGCACGATTACCGTACGAGAATCGTGGGAAATCCTGCGATCGTACGATAATCGCAAAGTGTATGGAAGGCGTGCGACCGTTTCTACTGTACGGTAGCACGTCTTTTGTCTAAGGAGCATGTTTGAAAACAAGCCGAAAATCGTAGGATTTTCAGCTGGTTTGTGGCATGCTCGGGAGACAACTGCCGAACGGGCCAGTGTGCGTACGCGCACACTGCCCGTTCAGCATTGCGGTCATCGGAAGCCAGCTTGCGGTGATCGCAAGTACGATTTGCCTGTCAAAGATGGGCAGATCGTACGTTTTTTTAAATTACTTTACAACCCTCGCAAGACAAAAGTCTTGCGAGGGTTGTAAAGTGTATGTCTACCTGAATACTAGTGCTGGACCCAGTCGGCTTCACATCAGGTGATGGTTACGCACAGGTAATTAGTACTCCCTTTAAAGGACATCAACACTGGCAAAATTATGGAGGCTGTTACCGCCGATTTCTTCTGAAAATATTAGTTGCCTGGCTGCCATGCTGATCTTGTGGCATCAGAGCTTTGAGTTGCTGACCTGGAACACGCATGCAGCCTGTGAAGTGCAGGGCGAAATCCGAACTCCTGGTCTGCGTTCCAACGGCTCAAAAAATATAGAATCCTGGGATTCGGCATGACAGCCAGAGGTTGTTTATTTAAAGGTCTCCAACAGCCTTTATTTCTCTCAGTATGGGTTTCTTTAAATGGTGATAGAAGCAATACAGTGTGACTAGCTGTCTAATATTGTATTGATTGATCTAATAAAAGGAACCAGCAGGGGTATTTAGGTCACAGCATGTTGGTCATATGGCCCCAGGGACGCCGTGTATCTCATGATCCTGTGCAGAGCCCCTATCTATGGTATGGACAATTCTCATAGACACGCTCCTAAACCTTGGGGTCGCCTTCCCAGAAGAATTGAAGCTGTTATAGCGGCAAAGGGCGGGCCACTTCGTGTGGCCTTCACATCCACATTCATTGCATGCTAACAATCCTCATTTTTCAGGCTCCCCAATTCTCCTGGTGGGCATAATCACGAAGCACCAGAGGCGGAGGAGAGCGATGAGTTGGATGAGCTTTCCCTTGTGGACCACAATGAGATCATGGCGAAACTCACACTGAAACAAGAGGTGAGCAGCTCATAGTGGACATAGGAGGTGGCAGATCCCATTTGAATTCTTTGGCAGAAGTGATCAATGATTTTTGTATGTGCAGGGTGACGATGGGCCGGATGTTAGGGGCGGTTCTGGAGATATCTTACTTGTCCATGCCACAGAGACAGACCGAAAAGGTAAGTCTTAATCTACACCTTCATGGCGTCTATCAGGAAATAATCACACCAACCATTAGGCTAATGTCACACGTGCAGCAGAGAACTCGCCATTAGCAGGATCACTTTGAAGGACACATGCAGGCAGTGAAAAACAAATACTTTTGTATGTTTTGCTCTTCCCCCCACAACTTATATTTTCTAGTGTCCTTCAAGGGAGGGAACAAGACATAGAAAGCAGCCAAGGATTCTTCCACTCGACATTAGCCTTAGGAATTACTTTCCAGAGCTAGTATACTGTATCTGGAAGACATGCTGTACACTAGCTGACAGTTGAAAACTAGTGGAAGGTGGAACACTGTGGGCACCAACCTACACTGCTCTGTACGATGGTGCCCAGGAAGGTGAGGTGCTTGGGCGTTCATCATATGTGTGCTCATGACTGACTAGTCATCAGGATTTGATGAATCACAAAATTAGGTCCATCATAATAAAGTCACATACAAAATTGTTTCAGCTGTGTGCTGATTTGACTGAAATCGCCCTTTAAAAGCATTCTGCAGAGTATCTGCCTACGAAGGCCGTCATTACCACCACTTGTTTCGTTGACAACACTTGTAGATGTGTTCCGTGTTAACGATAATTAATCGCCGTTATTCATTGCTCCTTTTTTTTTTTTCAAAAGAGCTAAGTATGTGGGTGTCAGTTAGCATTCGAGGTCTCCGCTGACTGAGAGCTGTGCACAGATCCGGGTTACATTCCAAGGAGTTTCCTCTCTGATAAAGATTGCCCTGGGGCTCTTCTTGCCGCAGCGTGTCTGTATGACCTCAGAGTTCTGAGATGCAGGCAGACTGGATGAAATGCTTCTCCTTGAACATTCAGCGAACACACGGCTATTATGTTTGTTCTCGTGTAACGTTCTGGAACACAAAGTTTATTTTAATGCTGAATTCTCTCCCTGCAGATCTGGTTCTTTATTGTGAGGCCTTTCTGACCACCTACCGGACATTCATAACACCAGAGGAGCTGATTCAGAAACTCCAGTACAGATATCCTTTTCATATGGCAAAGAATTATCGATTGGGATGTGATATTGTCATTGCAGAGTTTAACGGCTGCGTAGGGTAACATTGTTAAGCCAGTGTCTTTCATTCCCCTTCCTACTATTTCCCCCACACCAAAGGCCTACATAGGCAATCCAAGATGGATGTCAAGGAAACCTGTAGTGAAAGATTATCAAGACTGCCATTGCTATACTGAAAATACGAGTTTCCTGGCTATCATGCTGAACCAGTGACTTCAGTACTGGCAAAGTCACTGGAGTTTGCTTGCTTGTTTCAGGTCAGCATCTCACAGAAGACAGAGACAGCCAGACAACTAGCATTTCCAGCAGAGGCAGCAATGGCTGTCTCCACAATTCTTTTAGCACTGGTTTCCTTTAAATGAAACCTGTTTGCACAGAAATATGGGAACTTCCATTGCATACTGTTTTTAAGATGCAGGTTCCAGGACTGTCAGACTAGTTCTAGCTTCACTTCCTGGAAAGTCATTTACCTGGAGCAAACATACAGCCACTGAAATCTGAAAAGCCAGAGCCCCCCATCATGGATGCTTGCTGCATGTCAGTGACTCACTAGGCAGTAAAGCAAGGATAAGGATGACGGCCCTCAAGCTTGCTAATAATAGTAAAAAAAACAATCTGCGGCTCCCTTATTGCCTGCATGTGATAGAATTGGTTTAGATGTATGAGGGAAGCATATTTTTGGTGATGGGGACTGTTAACATTGGCAGCACTTCCTTTAGTCAGATTATCTGTCTTTCCTATGCAGTGTGCTCCGCAACCAGTGAGGCAAGATGTGGACTAGTGCTGCCCCCTGCTGTTACAAAGGCTTTGTCTGCACATGTAGATGGTGGGAGTTATCCTTCTGAAAGAAAAGCGTTCTCCATCATTCAGCTCTGCCCAATGAAATGGTGCCATGTATTCCATGAATAGATATTTTTGCGGTTTACAACAAGGTATTATAGTACAAGCCTTGATGTACTTAATACAATAGGTATAAAGTAAATGCATACATTGATTTTGTTCAGTTTTAAAACTATCTGTAGTCACCCCAGGAATACGATTTTGTATTTGTAATCCCTTTGTTTCCCCCCTTGACAGCTTATGTTAAGGAAATGTCTGTGACCAGTGTGTGTGTAGAAGGAGCCGTTGTGGGTTAGAATAGTCACTGACACCCCCCCATCTCTGATAATATTTACAAAGCATGTTGTAGGTATTAGAGGGGGCGGAGCATGTTTTCCTCGATCCCTCCCCTAGGTCTGACACGCACCCCATCTCTGATAACATTTACAGAGCATGTTGGTATTAGAGGGGGTGGAGCATGTTTTCCTGGATCCCTCCCCTAGGTCTGACACTCCCTTGTCTCTGATAATATTTACAGAGCATGTTGTTGGAATCAGGGGGGGGGTAGAGCATGTTTTCCTGAATCCCTCCCCTAGGTCTGCCTTCCCCATTGCCCCTCACCCCTCCCGCCCCTCTCTCTGCTAACATTTATAGAACATGTTGTACGTATTAGAGGGGGCGGAGCATGTTTTCCTGGATCCCTCCCCTAGGTCTGCCTCCTCCCTCTGATATTTACAGAGCATGCTGTTGGTATTAGAGGGGGTGGAGCATGTTTTACTGGATCCCTCCCCTAGGTCAGTACCTCTGTTACCTCTCTGCAGCCAGGCAGCTTGGTCAGAACCAATTCTCGAACAGAAACTGAAGCTAGTAGAAGATGAGAATTAACATTGGAATGACACTCTGACGGCATTACTTGACCATAAAAAGGGGGGGGGGGAATAAATTAAACTTCACATTCCGTTTAAGAATATTTTGTGAACTGGAGACTGTTTTCTTTAACTATTTTCAACATATGAGAGATTCTGCCACTTCCAGGACACATTCAAGCAGCGTGTGAGCAAGAACACCTTCTTCGTTCTGGTGAGAGTGGTGGACGAGCTGTGGTAAGTACAAGTCCGTTATCAGACTAACACTGAATGATTTGCAATAGTGACCCGCACAGAAGAAGTCCCTTTGGCAGCCAATGAAAGAGATTATAAAGCATCAATCTTCACATATCTGTGCACACAGTGTGGTGCCGTTGAAGGGAATTATATCTTTATAGGCTTTGATCCTTAACGTGAACCTGTCAAGTTATAAATAGTGTCTAGACTAAAAAAAACTGATACATTTTGGGCACTTTTTTTTTCTGCATCATTGTTAATCTTCAGATCACTGTATCCTAGGGGCATGGTGTCCACAAGGTCTCAACTTCTGCTAAAATTGGTGCTAAACACCGCATAAAACCCCCAGAATTCCTCTTCTGTTATTAAATGATGGGCATATTTTGACCTTTCTTTTTTTCTTTCCTCTTCTGCAGTTTGGTGGAGCTGACAGATGAAATCTTGAAGCTGCTGATGGAACTAGTGTTCAAGCTGGTGTGTAAAGGGGATCTGAGTCTGGCCAGAGTCCTGAGGAAGAATATCCTGGAAAAAGTGGATAATAAGAGGATGCAGAGCCACTGCAACTCCGCCATGAGACCCCTCGCTGCCAGAGGCGTTGCTGCAAGGTATGCATTTCTTCTATTTCACGTAGCAGTTTGCCGTGTATATAAAACGTGTGGCGTTGTCTTCTGCTTTGACGTCTTAGAATTACTCTGCCATGCAATTCCTGTGGGAAACCTGATCTGCATTGTGTATTTCTGCGTGTGGTGTTGTACAACCAGTAGACTGATCCCAGTATGTGTTCTGTTACAGGCCGGGGACTCTCCACGACTTCCACAGTCACGAAATTGCAGAACAGCTGACCCTTCTGGACGCAGAGCTCTTCTACAAGATTGAGGTGGGTTCCCTGGGGCAGCACTGATTTCTGGGTCCAAAATGGACTGCCTTGCTAATTGGCTTGGTTGTTTTCGCCTTAGGAGCTTGAAGGCCAGAAATGTTAACACTAATAATATTTATCATATACGTCACACAATTAAAGACAATCAATTATAAAACATTGGTCCAGCTACCCACAACTGTCGTGTAAAATTAAAGATAATCAACCCTAGTTTATCACACCATCACCAATTGCAACCCCCCTTCCCCTGGAAACCTGTAGTAGGTGTTAGGGGGCTTATTAAGTCTATTTGGTGATCCAATGACATCTATACTAGCATGCAGATCAGGATGCAACGTCACTTGTTCCCTGCTTTTTCTGGGCCGGTGTCTCAAAGTATTGAAGCCAGAGGCAGCTAGACAAATGGCATTTGCAGAAAGTGTTCAGTATTAGCAGCACTTGTATTTATGTCAGTAAAGGGTTACTTTAACCTCTACACCTAACCTCAGTCTAACCCAGTGGTTCTCAACCTGTGTAACCTCAGGACCCACATTTGTCCTTGGTATTTAAGTCGCGACCCAAGATGCACTGCAATGGAATGGACGGCATTGTAGTACTGGGCGTTAGGGTGCAGACGATCGGACTGTGGGCGGGAGGTTTGGGGTGTCATTCACATTAATGGCAATGCAACACACCTCCCACACCAGAACATGTAATAGGTGCGATTACGTGGTACAGTGCAATAATTGCATGGGACTGTGGTGATTAACGCACTGTACTAGTGTGAATGGACCCTCAAAAACACTGACAGACACACGCACACCAAAAATACTTTTTCTTAAGATCCACCCAGTGTCCCTACCTTACGAGAACTGGAGTGGATCCTCAGCTTGTGGTCCAGTGTGGGCTGCTGTGCTGTGACTGAGCTCCAGCCATATGTGCATTGCTTGTACAACTCCCTTGCGATCCCCGTAGAGGTGCCAGAATGGGACGCCAGTCCAGTCCAGGCACCTTATACAAGGCACATGTAGGAGCTGTAAACAATGCACAAATGGATGGAGCTCCCTTATGGCCATACTTCTAGCGCACTCCACCTCAAGCTGACACTCGGCAGCGGGCAGCATATTTTGAACGGCTGCTCGTGCGAGAACTGACTGCTGCTTTAGGGGGAGGCTGAGGAGTCTCTCACCTAGAAAAGTGGAAGGCATATGACGACCCACTGAACATGGGGTCGCGACCCACGAGTTGAGAACCAAGGGTCTAACCTATACATCTAAACCCTAATTTTCTCATACATGTAGTTACATATTGTGTTTTTAAAGAGTCAGCAGACTGTCTTACATTGTACAGCATCCTATAACGTACAGTCAACGTGTACAAATGACTGCCCACATGTATTGCAAACAGTACACACAAACGCAGTTTACTGAAGGTTGTCTCCGAAAGAGCTATATTTGTGTGTTCAGCCACCAGAGGTTCTGAGTTTGAACTGTCTGCACAGTCTGAGTTCTTCATTTCTCAGCCGACTTTGCAGTACATTTTGCACTGATTGCACTGACTTTCATGAATATGGCACCAGCGCACAAAATGGCAGGTTTCACCGAGGGCTCAGAATTTTATCATTAATCGTATCTCTGGCTTCCCATTTTAGATCCCCGAGGTTCTGCTGTGGGCAAAAGAGCAAAACGAGGAGAAAAGTCCAAACCTGACACAGTTCACGGAACACTTTAACAACATGTCCTACTGGTAAGAGATGAGAACGTGGAGGACTAATACCAGACACACAGAAGTGATGAATAAACCTTTGTCAGTGAAAAGCGGTGTAGTAAATGTTAAGGTTGAACTATGCCTCGTCTATTACAGGGTGCGATCCATCATCATGCTGCAAGAGAAGGCACAAGACAGAGAGAGGCTGCTGCTGAAATTCATCAAAATTATGAAGGTGAGCAATTCGTCAGCAGCTCAGCTGCCCCTGCTATATTTCCAACTGATACTTGAGCCTACGGAGGGGAGGTTCATTTAGAGTTCAGGAGCCATGTCAAGAGGCTAAATTTTAGAGGTGCACCGAAATGAATATTTTAAAACCGACATAAAAAAAATTGGCAAGCCAAAACCGAAAATGTTTTTATTTTAATTTTTTTCAAATTTTTCAAATATTTTATTTATTTTTTTATAAACGTTTTAATTTTTTAATATTTGTATTCATTTTTAATTAAATATTTTTTACTTTACTTTTAGGGGCTTTGGTGAAATATTAGGGGGTCTAAACAGATCCCTGATATTTCCCTTTTAAAATTAGAAAAAGAGATTGAGAACACAGAGTCTCTTTTTCTGTATCACCTGTTATCAATGATCAAGAATCCTCTGAGTGTTCCTTTTCATTGATAACATAAGGACATGGTATGATTACTGTAACCACAACTATGAATGAACAGGAAGTGATGTAGATCACTTCCCATTCATTCATTATTGAGGATATAGTAACCATACCATGTCTTCAATTATCTGCAAACACTCAGCGATCACTGATCACTGACTGCTTGTACCCGCTCTCCATCCTGACACGCTCAGCCTCCTGTGACAGCGCGGCCTGTCTCCACCCACACACCGCTCTGCCGGACTGTGATAGGAGGCTGAGCCGTGTTGGAGGAGACGCCGGCCGCTCACAGCACTCTCCAACCGCAGCGCTCGGCCGGCTATCAGTTTCTCTCCTCCCCGCTGGGACACAGAGCAGCATCCAGCGGGGAGGAAAGAAAGCAGGGGTCGGCAGAAAAATGGCACATTATGCCAAAAGTGCCATTTTCGGCCGATATGTTTCGGCGGCCGATATATCGGTGCATCCCTACTAAATTTAATTAAAGCTCAACTCAAGCCAAAACTTTGTTTTCACCTTGATACAGTGGCATAGGGTTAGAGTTTGTCAACTCTGTGTCGTTATCTGTATTACTTTGAGAGGGGAAATACCCCCAACAGGGACCCAAGCAGAAATAAAGACGAACTTTAGGATCCTCTGTCAGGATTGGATTGCTGTCTGTCCCAGCAGGGAGAGTTACATGAATTCCTGTCCAGGTGACAGATGTCTGATAGAACAGGAAAATTACCAAATTCATAAATTGCCTCAATATTCACAATCTGGAGGCACCTCTCCCCCTACAAAATACATAGTTTAATAAGCGCGTCATGACCATTGCATAAGTAAAATCAAGAAACATAATTTATTTGACATATACATACATTAGTGTGATCAAATTGTTATCCAGGACAACATTTCCCAAATATTTGTTACATACGACACCAAGGATATACACAAATACCAGAAAGAACATTGATAACATATCCAGGTTAAATTTAGAAAATCAGTAGTGATACCACAATTGTAATCTTTCTGGATAGCTTGCGTATCCGGTGTTGGTCCCAGTCCTGACGCGTTTCGCTGTTAGCTTCCTCAGGGGACCATAGGGAACTAGTCAAACACCAAGTGCTTGGAGAAGGACCAAGGTTCTAGGATACAAGGAGGAACCAGGGGCCATGATAAACCTCCCATCCAAAACTGTGCCGAAGACACCGAAACCCCAATTGAAGAAGAGACGAGGGACAGAAGGAAAGGACCCAGTTCGCTTTTTCCTTCCTTCAATGATCCTATATCTGCCACCATGAATGGGGAGTTCCTAAAGTGCATAAATGTCCTTTTGAGTAACTCTGAAAAATGTGGTCCGAAAATCCTTCTCCAGCCGCATCACAGCAGGTTAGGGTCCGCATTCGATAGAACAGGAAGTGAAGATGAATTAATAGGAATGCAGCAAATGAACAGGAACAGGAATCCCCAGCACTCAGTGGAAGATATTCAAACCATAAAGTCCATTTAATCGGACAAATCATCATACATGTTGCAATAATTATAACCGACGTTTCGGGGGCCACACAGGGACCCTTCATCAGGGTAACAATGGGTGTGACATTGTTGCCCTGATGCAGGGTCCCTGCGTGGCCCCGAAACGTCGGTTATAATTATTGCAACATGTATGATGATTTGTTCGATTAAATGGACTTTATGGTTTGAATATTTTCCACTGAGTGCTGGGGATTCCTGTTCATTTGCTGTTTGATGTGCACTGCGCCATCCGTGAGTATCACTACAAGCACCATCATTGTGATTTGGGCCGGAGACGCTGTGAGGAGTGCAGGGGGACATATTGCACTTTAATAGGAATGCACACAGCATTAAAAACCTAGCAGAGGGTCTCACCTTTCCTTGCTCTCGGATCTATATCTGGTTGGAGTTGGACTTTAATCTACTATCAAGTGATATCAAATAAGGGTAATGTTGTAGATCAGATGTGCAAAGGTGCTGCATTCTTCCCTTTACTAGGCAGACATTACACCCTCAAGTGTAGCTGGAGCCCGCCAGAAATCTGTCTTTTATCAGACCTGAATCGTGCCATATGGATTGGGATGGAGAAAGCGCGTGTACCTGTGCAAATGGCCGAGTTCTAAAAGTCTTCATTGAAAAAGTGATTTTGTAAATGAACATTTGTGACGCAGTCATTGCACGTTACTCATGTGATCATTAGGATGTGGAGCTTTCTAATAAAATCCCAGCAGTGGCCGCATGATTTTTGTCAGTGTGTGTGAGCTGAGTAATAGGATGTTTCTTTGTATATTTGGGGGGTCTTGGTGTAAACATTTCAGGTCTGTTGCAGTTAAGGTGGCCATACATCTGACGATTATTGTACGATAATCGCGTGCAATCCTGTGATCATACGATAATCGTAAGGTTGAAGGGCAGCGTGCGACCGCATTTACTGTACGGTCCTAAGATTTTCGTATAACGAGCACGCTGGAAAACCTGCCTAAAAATCGTACGGTTTTTGGCGGGTTGGTAGCGCGATCGCAAGACGAAAGCCGCACGGCCCGAGGTGCGCAAGCACACTGCCCGCTTACCATTTCAATCATCTGCAAGCCCTCCCCTCAGCGGGGAGGACTTGCGATGATCGCATGTACGATCTGCCTGTCCAAGATGTGCAGGTCGTACGAACTTTTAATCACCTTACAACCATCGCACAATGGTTGTGAGGTGTATGGGCAGCTTAAGATTCCTCCCTTGGCTACAAGTAGGAAGTAAGACGCAATGAGGGGGATTTATCAAAACTTTGCACAGATAAAATCTGGAGCAACTGTGCACGGCAACCAATTAGCTTCTCTCTTTCATTTTCAAATCTTAACTGAACCAACTAAAGAGAGAAGCTGATTGGTTGCCATGGACAGCTGCTCCAGATTTTGTCTGCTCCAGTTTTGATAAATTCCCCTCATTGAGTATCTTATGGGACTGAGCAGAAGTATATAATCGTGTCCAGCCCTGTAGGGCCTTGTACTTGAGCTGCAGATCTCCAGAAAATAACAAACTGCTTAGAGAATGTCAAACACCATAGACTTTCTGATGTCTTTGATGCAAAGACAGTGGCGTAGAGCAAAGCTTCTGCCATTTTAGTGGTAGCTTTTTGAAGTTGAGCCTCCTTTAGGCTGGGCATACCATAGGCGCTTTTCTTCAGCACATTTTTTCGTTCAGTGAAACGTGCATTCGACGCTTGTTTTTATACCTCCCTGGCGGTATGATTTTTTTTTCCCCCTTTTTATTTTCTCTTTTTTTTTCTGGGTTTTTTTTTTTTTAAACTTCCCGCCGGTTCCGCTCCCGTGCGACGCAGCTGCTCGCAAGGGACGGAACCAGGAAGTCGTCAGCGGCCGTGGAACACAGCGGGATCGTGGACAAGGTAAGTCCTACGATGTATTCCCGAGTGTGGCTCGGGGTTACCGCTTTGTTAACCCGGAGCCACACTCGGGAATAACAATGGAAACGGGCGGAAAAACGCCCCAAAGAAGCTCCTGTACTTGTTTGGGCGTAGGGCGTTTTTTAGCGCGTTTCCACGTGCTGAAATACGCTCAGGTGGGAACCATGCCCATAGGGATTCATGGGATTTCACTTGCTGAGCGTTTTTCAGCGCTTCGATCAGCGCTGAAAAACGCCTAGGTGTGAACCCGGCCTTAGAGCCTGTAGTCAGGACTTGCCTGGTTGGATGTTGGATGCGCAGTCTGAATTGACTGTATGTAATTCATTAATGCTTTTCCTAAGAAAGTTTTGCACAGCAATGTTTTGATTAAAATGTTTTTGTGTCATGTTGGATAGTATTTGATTGCCCTGCTCCTATTTACACTTGAAATATATTATATTGAGCTTCTTCGTGGGATGTCCTTATGTTGGGGGCTTCAGTACAGAGGTTAGAAAGCATTGGTTATGGTCTTGAGCATTGAGGATCTCATTTTGGCCACGTTTTTGTTCAACAGCACCTGAGAAAACTGAACAACTTTAACTCTTATCTTGCCATCCTCTCTGCACTGGACTCTGCTCCCATCCGCCGTCTGGAGTGGCAGAAGCAGACATCAGAGGTAAGTTCTGGGAGCGTATTAATGGTACTGTAGACTGCTGCCTGTACTTGTTGGAATAATACATTGTACTTGATCCCCACAGGGTTTGGCTGAGTACTGCACACTGATAGACAGCTCGTCTTCATTCCGGGCATACCGGGCAGCCCTCTCTGAGGTGGAGCCCCCATGTATACCTTACTTGTAAGTTTCCTTCACTGCCAGCAGCTAAAAACACTAATCAGCAGACTTTTTGCTGATCTCTTGTTTCTTCCCTCTAGGGGTCTGATCCTGCAGGACCTCACCTTTGTGCACCTGGGGAATCCAGACCATATTGATGGCAAAGTAAACTTCTCCAAGAGGTGGCAGCAGTTCAACATCCTAGACAGCATGAGGCGATTCCAACAAGTGTAAGTCCAAAGCCATCTCCGCAGTTTGCCCATTGCATTTAATGCTTGTTTGTGTCTTTTATTGCTCCATTAATGCTTCGCTTTCATCATTGACAAATGGCTTTAAGTGGTTTTGGTGTTAAAATTCACACTTTACATTACAGGACAAATTCAGGGATAAAAATCTCTCTAGACCCCCGTCCTAGGAGAACTCTTAAGTGCTAGCAATATTTTACAGCAGGACTTTAGTTATGCATTCATTGTAGGCGCATCTGTACCCTCATCTGTACCCCACTGTCTATCAGCATTGTCACTGCAGATTCCCAAGCCTGTAGCTTGTCAATCAGCACCTGGCTATACCACTTACCACTGCTTTCTGGGCTGACAGCACTGCCTCTGTTAATGAAACCCTCGCACTATGAGCTGCAATGGGATTTGGCTGACGTGGGATGTAAAGGAGGATTGTGCTTTATTTTAATAATGCCAGCCAGAACCAGAGTAAGCGTCATCCATTGCCAGCCAGAACCAGAGTAAGCGGGATCCATTGCCAGCCCGAACCAGAGTAAGCGGGATCCATTGCCAGCCCGAACCAGAGTAAGCGGGATCCATTGCCAGCCCGAACCAGAGTAAGCGGGATCCATTGCCAGCCCGAACCAGAGTAAGCGGGATCCATTGCCAGCCCGAACCAGAGTAAGCGGGATCCATTGCCAGCCCGAACCAGAGTAAGCGGGATCCATTGCCAGCCCGAACCAGAGTAAGCGGGATCCATTGCCAGCCCGAACCAGAGTAAGCGGGATCCATTGCCAGCCCGAACCAGAGTAAGCGGGATCCATTGCCAGCCCGAACCAGAGTAAGCGGGATCCATTGCCAGCCCGAACCAGAGTAAGCGGGATCCATTGCCAGCCCGAACCAGAGTAAGCGGGATCCATTGCCAGCCCGAACCAGAGTAAGCGGGATCCATTGCCAGCCCGAACCAGAGTAAGCGGGATCCATTGCCAGCCCGAACCAGAGTAAGCGGGATCCATTGCCAGCCCGAACCAGAGTAAGCGGGATCCATTGCCAGCCCGAACCAGAGTAAGCGGGATCCATTGCCAGCCCGAACCAGAGTAAGCGGGATCCATTGCCAGCCCGAACCAGAGTAAGCGGGATCCATTGCCAGCCCGAACCAGAGTAAGCGGGATCCATTGCCAGCCCGAACCAGAGTAAGCGGGATCCATTGCCAGCCCGAACCAGAGTAAGCGGGATCCATTGCCAGCCCGAACCAGAGTAAGCGGGATCCATTGCCAGCCCGAACCAGAGTAAGCGGGATCCATTGCCAGCCCGAACCAGAGTAAGCGGGATCCATTGCCAGCCCGAACCAGAGTAAGCGGGATCCATTGCCAGCCCGAACCAGAGTAAGCGGGATCCATTGCCAGCCCGAACCAGAGTAAGCGGGATCCATTGCCAGCCCGAACCAGAGTAAGCGGGATCCATTGCCAGCCCGAACCAGAGTAAGCGGGATCCATTGCCAGCCCGAACCAGAGTAAGCGGGATCCATTGCCAGCCCGAACCAGAGTAAGCGGGATCCATTGCCAGCCCGAACCAGAGTAAGCGGGATCCATTGCCAGCCCGAACCAGAGTAAGCGGGATCCATTGCCAGCCCGAACCAGAGTAAGCGGGATCCATTGCCAGCCCGAACCAGAGTAAGCGGGATCCATTGCCAGCCCGAACCAGAGTAAGCGGGATCCATTGCCAGCCCGAACCAGAGTAAGCGGGATCCATTGCCAGCCCGAACCAGAGTAAGCGGGATCCATTGCCAGCCCGAACCAGAGTAAGCGGGATCCATTGCCAGCCCGAACCAGAGTAAGCGGGATCCATTGCCAGCCCGAACCAGAGTAAGCGGGATCCATTGCCAGCCCGAACCAGAGTAAGCGGGATCCATTGCCAGCCCGAACCAGAGTAAGCGGGATCCATTGCCAGCCCGAACCAGAGTAAGCGGGATCCATTGCCAGCCCGAACCAGAGTAAGCGGGATCCATTGCCAGCCCGAACCAGAGTAAGCGGGATCCATTGCCAGCCCGAACCAGAGTAAGCGGGATCCATTGCCAGCCCGAACCAGAGTAAGCGGGATCCATTGCCAGCCCGAACCAGAGTAAGCGGGATCCATTGCCAGCCCGAACCAGAGTAAGCGGGATCCATTGCCAGCCCGAACCAGAGTAAGCGGGATCCATTGCCAGCCCGAACCAGAGTAAGCGGGATCCATTGCCAGCCCGAACCAGAGTAAGCGGGATCCATTGCCAGCCCGAACCAGAGTAAGCGGGATCCATTGCCAGCCCGAACCAGAGTAAGCGGGATCCATTGCCAGCCCGAACCAGAGTAAGCGGGATCCATTGCCAGCCCGAACCAGAGTAAGCGGGATCCATTGCCAGCCCGAACCAGAGTAAGCGGGATCCATTGCCAGCCCGAACCAGAGTAAGCGGGATCCATTGCCAGCCCGAACCAGAGTAAGCGGGATCCATTGCCAGCCCGAACCAGAGTAAGCGGGATCCATTGCCAGCCCGAACCAGAGTAAGCGGGATCCATTGCCAGCCCGAACCAGAGTAAGCGGGATCCATTGCCAGCCCGAACCAGAGTAAGCGGGATCCATTGCCAGCCCGAACCAGAGTAAGCGGGATCCATTGCCAGCCCGAACCAGAGTAAGCGGGATCCATTGCCAGCCCGAACCAGAGTAAGCGGGATCCATTGCCAGCCCGAACCAGAGTAAGCGGGATCCATTGCCAGCCCGAACCAGAGTAAGCGGGATCCATTGCCAGCCCGAACCAGAGTAAGCGGGATCCATTGCCAGCCCGAACCAGAGTAAGCGGGATCCATTGCCAGCCCGAACCAGAGTAAGCGGGATCCATTGCCAGCCCGAACCAGAGTAAGCGGGATCCATTGCCAGCCCGAACCAGAGTAAGCGGGATCCATTGCCAGCCCGAACCAGAGTAAGCGGGATCCATTGCCAGCCCGAACCAGAGTAAGCGGGATCCATTGCCAGCCCGAACCAGAGTAAGCGGGATCCATTGCCAGCCCGAACCAGAGTAAGCGGGATCCATTGCCAGCCCGAACCAGAGTAAGCGGGATCCATTGCCAGCCCGAACCAGAGTAAGCGGGATCCATTGCCAGCCCGAACCAGAGTAAGCGGGATCCATTGCCAGCCCGAACCAGAGTAAGCGGGATCCATTGCCAGCCCGAACCAGAGTAAGCGGGATCCATTGCCAGCCCGAACCAGAGTAAGCGGGATCCATTGCCAGCCCGAACCAGAGTAAGCGGGATCCATTGCCAGCCCGAACCAGAGTAAGCGGGATCCATTGCCAGCCCGAACCAGAGTAAGCGGGATCCATTGCCAGCCCGAACCAGAGTAAGCGGGATCCATTGCCAGCCCGAACCAGAGTAAGCGGGATCCATTGCCAGCCCGAACCAGAGTAAGCGGGATCCATTGCCAGCCCGAACCAGAGTAAGCGGGATCCATTGCCAGCCCGAACCAGAGTAAGCGGGATCCATTGCCAGCCCGAACCAGAGTAAGCGGGATCCATTGCCAGCCCGAACCAGAGTAAGCGGGATCCATTGCCAGCCCGAACCAGAGTAAGCGGGATCCATTGCCAGCCCGAACCAGAGTAAGCGGGATCCATTGCCAGCCCGAACCAGAGTAAGCGGGATCCATTGCCAGCCCGAACCAGAGTAAGCGGGATCCATTGCCAGCCCGAACCAGAGTAAGCGGGATCCATTGCCAGCCCGAACCAGAGTAAGCGGGATCCATTGCCAGCCCGAACCAGAGTAAGCGGGATCCATTGCCAGCCCGAACCAGAGTAAGCGGGATCCATTGCCAGCCCGAACCAGAGTAAGCGGGATCCATTGCCAGCCCGAACCAGAGTAAGCGGGATCCATTGCCAGCCCGAACCAGAGTAAGCGGGATCCATTGCCAGCCCGAACCAGAGTAAGCGGGATCCATTGCCAGCCCGAACCAGAGTAAGCGGGATCCATTGCCAGCCCGAACCAGAGTAAGCGGGATCCATTGCCAGCCCGAACCAGAGTAAGCGGGATCCATTGCCAGCCCGAACCAGAGTAAGCGGGATCCATTGCCAGCCCGAACCAGAGTAAGCGGGATCCATTGCCAGCCCGAACCAGAGTAAGCGGGATCCATTGCCAGCCCGAACCAGAGTAAGCGGGATCCATTGCCAGCCCGAACCAGAGTAAGCGGGATCCATTGCCAGCCCGAACCAGAGTAAGCGGGATCCATTGCCAGCCCGAACCAGAGTAAGCGGGATCCATTGCCAGCCAGAACCAGAGTAAGCGTCATCCATTGCCAGCCAGAACCAGAGTAAGCGTCATCCATTGCCAGCCAGAACCAGTGTAAGCGTCATCCATTGCCAGCCAGAACCAGTGTAAGCGTCATCCATTGCCAGCCAGAACCAGTGTAAGCGTCATCCATTGCCAGCCAGAACCAGTGTAAGCGTCATCCATTGCCAGCCAGAACCAGTGTAAGCGTCATCCATTGCCAGCCAGAACCAGTGTAAGCATCATCCATTGCCAGCCAGAACCAGTGTAAGCATCATCCATTGCCAGCCAGAACCAGTGTCATCTAGTGCTAGCCAGAACCAGTGTCATAGAGTTCCAGTGCCAGCATCATCCAATGCCAGCCAGAACTAGTGCCTGTACAGCAGTACTAGAATCAACCAGAACCAGTGCCTGATCACTACCAGTTACAGTCATTTCTACTGTTCTAGCACTTCAAAGCCTCCAAAAACGTGATGGGTAATAAGGAAATTGAATGCCTAATTTATGCCCCTTGAAAGCCTGAAGGTGCTCCTTGGATTTTGGCCCCTAGGCTGCGAAAAAGTCTTGAGGTGTAGCCATACTCGGCAGGAGTAGCAGCATTGGGTGTAATACTAAGTATGTCCAAGCTGTGTGTGAGAAATATCTGATTAAAATGACAACTTTGTGAAAAATCTGATTTTCAATTATTTTATTTTTATTTCTCAAAAAAAAGGGGCTTTTTTGGTCATATTTTGGGTGTTTTTAGTAGCATTTTAGGGCATCAACAAATGCGATAGGCAGTCAGAACATCAGGGTTATCATATTTGTAGATGCCATAACTTTCACCCAGACTACATTATATACACTTACTCTGGGTTGTTTTTTTTTTATCAGAGAAAGATTTATATGGTCAATGTTTTTTAAAATATTAAAATGTATTTGGTTGTACAAATTGGCCGTATGCTCTGGGCACAAAAGCTCTAAAGAATTTGTTGGGGACATAAACCAATGAAGTAATTTAATCCTGATATCACAATCTCTTCCAATAAAGTAATTTAATCCTGATATCACAATCTCTTCCACAGTCACTACGAGATCCGCCGCAACGACGACATCATCTCTTTTTTCAACGACTTCAGCGATCACCTGGCCGAGGAGGCTCTATGGGAATTGTCTTTAAAAATCAAGCCCCGGAATATAACACGACGGAAAACAGAGAGAGATGAGAAGACCTAAGATATGTAGGAGGCAGACAAGACTGCCACGAGGACTATAAAGAGGAAAAGTTTCCTATCAAGGGGGACACACCGAAGGGTCAAAAAGGGGACATATATTGTTTACTGGTTGTCACTGACCCCCTTCTCCTCTCCCAAAGACATGGGTTACCCTGCCCACCATTGTCTTATGTTACTTTGTGACCCCCGAATCCTGTCGGGAGTCACAGATCTCTGTGCCATGTCACTACGGACCTCCCTGCTTTCATCACCAAATGCAGACTGAGGATATGGCGGGTATCACACTGGTTCTGGTGACCACAGCGAACCTGCCCTTCTATATAAACTAAGGACTCATGGGACATCGCCAAGCTACTCCAAGCTAGCTGCAGAGCCCAGATGCTCATTGTAAACCTTATTTTTTTTTATTGTTGTTGCCAACTTCACATTTTGTTTTTTCGGATCTGCCAACATTTCCCCTCCACCCCCAGCAGAGGGCAGTGTACTCCTGTGTGTGTGTGTGTATATATATAT